AGCACATTTTTGCACATATTAAATGGTTAAATACATAATTACTACAATAAGTAGTGGCAGTGTACTGGTGGCATCCATAGTCTCTGGCTGCTTGGTCTTTATCTGGATTCTCATGGTTAGGCTAGCAAAGTCTTTTGGAAGTTTTCCAGTCTTGTTGCAAAAGCTGCAACTCCAGGCCTCAGGGCAGAAGCCTCCCTCCAAAGTGGGTGATGGGGTGGTGGTAGGTAAGACCAGCCCTTCTCTGCCCAGAGCTACTACTGCGTCAGAAAAACTACAATAACTATGACACTTTACCTTGACAAAGACCTGAAGTTTTCTTGTGAAAGTGAATGTGAGAAGTGTTGCAGCTTGTGAGTTATTGTTAAGTGGTAGTTTTCTGCATTCAAGCTGTTTCTTGAGGAAGAAATGGAGCAGAAGCAAACTTAAAATTTGAGTTATGCTTAAAGTGTTCCTTAATATATAAATCACACTGGAATAACTTTATATTTTTGAAATATGCATTACAGCTTAACTGACTGCCTATATAATATCCTTGACTTTGGTTCTTGGCCCACAAAGCCTAGAATATTTATTTCTGGACTATTTACAGAAAAAGTTTGCTGACCTTTAGGCTAGAAAAGGAGCCTCGAGGCCACATGTAGCCTAGATGTGACAGGTTCTCCACTCCTGGGCTAGAACATTGAGCCAGTATCTACTGTGATAAAGTTTATAGGGATACATAAAAAGTCTTAGATTTTTTTTTCCTGTTATTTAAAAACAAACAAAAGCCAGTCCTCAAACATAAGATAGGCCAGGCATGGCTAGAGTAGCATTTTACCTGGAAAAGAGCTGGCAGTTTTAGTGGATTGCAAGTCAAATATGATTCTGTAACAGTGTGTCAGGGTAGATAAGAAACTTTAATGAAATCTTTGGCTTCTTTAAGAGGAAGTAAAAAAGTATTGTTGCTTAGAGGATTGAGAGCTAGTCTAGGACTTGAGAAGACCAGGATTCACAACCTCTCATTTATTTACACTGCCACTAACTTTTTAGTGCTCTATACAACTCTAAGATTATAAGTGCAGAGAAAGACCTACATTGGTAGAGGGAGTTTCTTTTTCAGCAGCTGCCTAAGTGAAGGAAATCACAGGTCCATTTGTGCTTCAGTTCTTCCTCAAGTCTCCTAGTGACCTAGAATGAGTACAGGCCTCAGCCTTGTCTCAGTCTCTGCACAGTCCCCACCAGAAGTTGGCACAGTCCCCTTTTGGGGTCCTGATAAGCTCCCATTAAATGTAAGAGATTGTACTGGTCTCAGGCCTCCAGGAAGATTCTCTTGAAACACAGGCTGACCATGTTTCTTGTTGTGATTCAGAGAGAAACATGAACTTAAATGTTGAATTGTTCCAGATGATGCCTTTATGGGCAGTGAGCTTTATGAAACTGGCAGGACTTAGATCCTACTAATTTCAGGGACTGTTTTTGGTTCCCTGGTTCTTTACCTCTCTAATAGGTACCTTCAAGTTTCTGGAAATCTTGTTTAGTCTTGGAATGGAGGGAGAAGCTTAATGGTGTTTGTATTTGATAGTCTTTTTTTTTTCTTTTTTTTAATTAATAAATTTATTTATTTTTAGTTTTCAACATTTACTTCCACAAGATTTTGAGTTCCAAATTTTCACCCCATCTCACCCCTCCCCCCTCCCCAAGATGGCATGAATTCTGAATACCCTGTCCCCTAGTCTGCCTTCCCTTCTCTTATCCCCTTCCCCTTCTGTTTTCCTGTAGGGCAAGATAGACTTCTGTATCCATTTCCTGTATTTCTTATTTCCCAGTTGCATGTGAAAACATTTTTTTTAAACATGTGTTTTTAATACTTTGGGTTCCAAATTTTCTCCCTTCCTCCCCCCCACCCTCGTTGAAAAGGCAAGCAATTCAATATAGGTTATACATGTGCAGTTATGCAGTGTGAAAAATTATCTCTATTTCCCTTAATCCTATCCTGACCCCCCATTTATTCTATTCTTTCTTTTGACCCTGTCCCTCCTCAGAAGTATTTGCTTTTGATTACCCCCTTTCCCAATCTGCCCTCCTTTCTGTCATCCCCTTACTCTCTTGTCCCCTTCCCTCCCCCATTTTCCTGTAGGGTAAGACAGATTTCCATACCCAATTGAGTGTGTATGTTATTCCTTCCTTAAGTCTAATCCTATGAGAATAAGGTTCACTCATTCCCTCTCACCTTCTCCCATTTCCCCTCCACTGTAAGAGCCTTTTCTTTTGTTTTTTTTTTTTGTGAGATAATTTACCCCATTCTACCTCTCCCTTTTTCCTTCTCCTACTGTAATCCTCTCACCCCTTAATTTTATTCTCCAGATGTGACCCCTTCATTTTCAACTCACCCTGTGCCCTCTATCTATCTATCTATCTATCTCTCTATCTCTCTATCTATCTACATAAAATTTTTTCCCTACAACTACCCTAAGGCCTCATGACTTACAAATATCATGTTTCCGTGCAGGAATGTAAACAATTCAACCTTAATAAGTCTCTCATGATTTCTCTTTCTGGTTTACCTCTTCATGTTCCACTTGAGTCTTGTATTGGAAAGTCAAATTTTCTATTCAGCTCTGGTCTTCTCATCAAGAGTGCTTGAAAGTCCTCTATTTCACTGAATGACCATTTTTTCCCCTGAAGGATTATACTCAGTTTTGCTGGGTAGGTGATTCTTGGTTGTAATCCTATCTCCTTTGCCCTCTGGAATGTTATATTCCATGCCCTGTGGTTCCTTAATGTAGAAGCTGCTAAATCTTGTGTTATCCTGCATAGACAAAGGGAGAGTATGTGACCCAGGAAATCAGGCCCAGATACCGGGAGGAGGCGTCTGGGGTCAGTGCTACACAAAGGGAAAGTACGTGACCCAGGAAGTCAGGAAGGACACAGGAAGGAGGCGTCTGGGGTTAACGTTGCACCTAGGGAAGAGGACTAGACAAAGGAACTCGTTCTCTGCCGTCCCACTCCCACGTGGCACAGCCCCCTGCCTCAGGAGCACGTGCTCCGGCTACTTCCTTGTATTCTGTTCCTTCCCCAGCTTATCACAGCTCCACATAGCACTGCCCACTGCCTCAGGAGCGCTCCGGTTACTTCTCTGTATCCAGCCCCCATCCCAGTTTACCACAACTCCGCCTAGCACAGCCCCTGCCTCGGGAGTGTGAGCTCCGGTTACTTCCTAATATCTTGTTCCTACCCCATCTTGTCACAATCCCCACTTGGCAGTAGCCAACATCAGACAGTCCCTCACAGTGATGTTCATGGGTTGAAACCGCCACAGCTGCCTGCCATTCAGCCCTCTGAGGCCTGCTGCAGGGTTGCTGCGGCCTGCGAGCCCATGCTGCACTGCGCTCCTCTCCCCGCCCAGAGAGATAAACCTTTCTGATCAACCATCCAGGTTGTCTTGGGCTGGAAATTTGTTTCACTCTGTCTTTTTGTGAGTTCTTCTGCTTTAGAATTTGTTTAGAGTCATTTTTTACAGGTATTTGGAGGGTTTGTGGGAGAGCTCAAGCAAGTCACTGCTTTCACTCCGCCATCTTGGCTCTGCTCCTATTTGATAGTCTTGATCATCATTGCATTGGAACATGCTTTGAGTTTGTTATGGTTGCTTTGTACACAGGCAGACGTATTGATGTCAACAGCCTGCTCCTTTGGTCTGCCAAGCCAACGAGATCTTGAACATGGTCTCAATACTTTTTAAGAAAAAATTAGCCCACTTGAATTGAGGTGGGAAGAGGGCAGGGATGTTGGTCTTTCTGCATACTGGGTAGGATATAGCACTGCATTGGCATCTACTGTAGATCACAGTACTCTGTTTGCATAAACATGACCCTGAATTGTCCATAGATAGTTAAATTTATATTAAGTATATTCTTTATTTTAAAAAGTTTTCCATTAAAAAGTATTTAAAATATAATTTATTAATTCCACTGTACTGAAAATAGCAGTATCCAGTGTGTCTCTTTTCTCAAGGGTTCTTTATAGAGGAAGTTTAAATGGAAATGTGCTTTTTCTGAAAGGGTTCATAGAGGTCATCTAATCTAATACTCTCATTTTACAGTAAGAAAAGAGGCCCATAAAGTGACTTGCCCAAGGTTACCCAGTTAGTGCTATGGCAAGGATTCGAAGCTGAGTCTGCTTATAACCTCTGTAGTCATCTTTTCACTATGACAGATCACATTTTCCATCTACAATTTTTTAGCTTCTGTTTAGAAAAAACTGAAACCCGGCAAAATAATGCCTCAATTCTTTTGTTAGAAATATCTTTCAATATGTGGCTTGACTTGGTACAAAGTTTTCTCTATTTTATTAGTTTATTATATTAATCCTTTTTTCTTATTTATTATTGTTAGCTAAAAATGCAAAATATTTTTCGATATTCTTGATCCACAGTTCCCAATAGCTATAAAAGTATTCTATTAAGAAATTAAATGATATTAGGAACATCAGATATCATGGATAATAAAGTAAGAAAATGAAATTGATCTCACTTTGTGTTGTAGCAATGTAGAAGCCAAAATGTAAATACCTGCTTGCTGCCCTGCAAATTAGCCCTGTGATTTCTATATTACAACTGGATATATTTAGGGTAGTGTGTAAAGTAGAAGATTAATTGAAGAAGATGAAGTAGAAGAAATATGAAGATGGAGAAAGAGAGGAGAATAAGATAGGGTATCAGAGGTTATGTGAATACTGTTCACATTTTTCATCTAGGCACTGATCTGCAACTGTTTACCTCTTACATAATCTTCTACCCATTGTAATAATTTCTTACCTCTCCCCGAAGTTCTGGGAACTTGTATTAGAAATAGGCATTCCTTAATGTGCTGTTGGTCTCTTATGCATAGTTTTGCTATGTAAAAATATTTTCCATATAGCCATCGTTAACAAATATTGTGATTTGATTTTGTATTAGAGAATTTAATAATATAGAATCTCTAGGACTTACTTTGCTTTATTCTTTTTATTTCCCCTCTTTGTAGGAAATTAAGAGAGAGATCGAACCCAAGGAGGAAAATTTTCCTTTCAAACGAGATAAGCCTGGAAATGTAGCCAATCTTGTACAACGCATAAGCACTTATGGACTTCCAGCAGGAGGAATTCAGCCACATCCCCTAACCAAAAATGTTAAGAAGAGTATGTAAAAACTTTTTTCCTCCTTTTTAAATAATGTCTGAATAATTCAAAAGAGCAGCATTCAAATTGTTCTTTTATATTTAGGAATGGTACATGGATCATTTGTGGTTTAGGGCTGTTGTTTAAAATAGTTACTCATTACCTAAAGTGACCTCCTCATCTTCTTATCTTCTAGTTCTTAGTTTTTACGTTTTTTTAGGCACTTAGATTTAGTTTTGTCATTGTTACATTTGGTTTAATGTACTGGTAAGAACACTAATTTTGGGATTTTGAATTCCATTCCTGACACCATTGCTGTGACTTGGGGCAAGTTTCTGAACCCCTAGTTTCCTTATCTGTAAAATGGGAGTAATGATAATACTTTTACCTACAATAAAGGCTGTCCATCTAAACTGCTATTTTAAAGATGAAGGTGAGAGGCTGCTGCTTATTCAGATAGAGGACTGTTCTTGAGTCAGGAACATCGCTGTTCAAATCCTGCCTCTGATTCATGTTATTTGCATGATTGTGAGTGAGTGACAACCCTTCAGTGCCCCAGGTTACTATCAAAGATTATAAATTGGAGGAGAGTTATCGAACCTTTGTGGATGGAGGGAATTTCCTATACTGATAAAATCACAGGTTACAGGTCTAAACCAGAAAAAAAAAATTCTGTTTCCATTTATTATAATTTTCTTGAGAGCAGGTGCATATTTATCTTTGCATCTGTCTCAGGCTCTGACTAGTGTTTTTCCATGTATTAGGTACTTAATAATTATATTGGGGTTTTTGCTTTACAATGTATTGAGTGTCATCATATACTTTTTTTTGATTCTCTTCACTGGCCTTTGACATATTAGCAAGGTGATAGGAGATAGTATCTTCATCTTCTTTAAGTGATAGCTCAGAGTGGGTTAAATGACTTGTTAAAGGGCACATGTTAGGTGGTGGAACCAGGCTCAAACTGTTTCTTCTCTCATCAAGCCCCCAAATTAGTGACCCTCATTTCCTCATCACTCTAAAAGGGTACTTTAACCATTTTTATGAGATAGACATATTTGGCGGTTTTGGTATTTGACTGAGAATGCACCCATTCTCAAAATGTTTTTAAATGTGTAAAATAAAGCATATAAGATTACAAAAGTCAATTAAATTGAAATACAGTTACCAAGGTAGTTTTAAAAATTGTGATATAGTTACATGTGCTTTCTTAGTTTATTAAATAACAAGAAAATACATTTAAAATAAAGACATGTTAAAATTAAATTTTATTTTTAAAGACATCAGTATGAAAGCTGTTGTTTAGCTTTAATAAGAATATTAAACTGATGGCCTTTGACAGTACAACACGTGTCATTATACATTAAATCAATTTCAGTTTCTTATTGGATGGTTACAAATGTTGAAATTCCCAGTTTGTAAATATATGTTGATGTAAATGTAACTAAAACTTCCAAAGCTTGCTTTATGTAACTAGAATAATTTCAAAATAGTGATGAGTGTAAATGATATTTTGAGATCTGCAAAGGTTGTAATGTGATATCTGTGATTTCTATTGGTGCCAAAGTTGCTGCTCCTGTGGTTGCCTACATTCATAATTGACGGAAATGATGCTAAATTTCAGTTAGAGGTTAGTGAAAATAGTTGCAATTTTTTTTCTAACCAAATTCACAGATCCTTGGAAATCTTAAGAGTTTTTAGAATTTTTACCCTTTCTCTAAGCCATTGATTTATTTTTCTACTTTGCTCAGAAGATAGAAGTCATGTTTTCTGTGTCCCCAAAACTTCTGTTTTCTCAGTACCTCTTTTTCTTCCCACTGACAGACTTATCCCTTATCTTCAGTCTTTTTATCTCTCTTGGTTCCTTTCCTTCTGCCTATAAATATGTTTATCTCTTCTATCTTGAAAACACCTTCCACAGATCCTACTATCCTTTCCTTCTTCAACACTATCATGCTCTTTTTTCTGTTAAAATTCCAAAAAAAGAGGAATTTATGCTTACTGTTTCTTTGCCTGTACCACCTACTTACTCATCAACTCCCCAATGCATTCTTGCTTCTGCCCCAGTACTTTGCAAAATATGTTCTCTCTCAGTTGCCAGCTATTTATTAATTGTCAAATTCATTGGCCTTTTCTCAATCCCTTGACTTCTCTGCAGCATTTGACATTGCTGTGTGAATACTCCTTCCTACTTGACGTTCTTTCCTTTTATCATTGACAACAATATCTTTTCTCTTCATATCTTTGACTACCCCTCATGTTCCCTTATTTGTGTTCCCTAAGCTATTTTCCCTCTCTGTGTGAAAAATTTTCCTTTGGCGATTACGTTTACTCTAACTAATGGCTTCAATTATAATCCATATACAGATAACTCATGAAATTTTTATCTCTAACCCTTAACTCTTCCCCTAGTTCCATTCTCTTATTTCTACTTTCCTGCTAGGGTGTCTTCTACTGGGTGTCCCTGAAAGTCAGCATATCTGAAACCATACTCATCATCTTCTATCTAGAACCAGTCATTCTTATCTTTCTCACTAGTGTTGATGACACTGCAATTCTCCCAATCATGTAGGCTTAAAAGCTTGGTGTCATTCTTTTCCCTGAACTTGCATGCCCAATCAAATGCTAAAGGCAATAAATTCTACTTTGGCAGTACTTCTTACAGTTGTTCTCTCTCTCTCTCTCTCTCTCTCTCTCTCTCTTTCTCTCTCTCTCTCTTTTTTTGGCAAGATCGTTGGGGTTAAGTGACTTGCCCAAAGTCACAAAGCTAGTGAATGTTATGTGTCTGAGGCTGGATTTGAACTCCGGGCCTCCTGACTCCAGGGCTGGTGCCCTGTCCACTGCACCATCTAGCTACCCCTGTTATCTGTTTACTATTCATACTGCCACCACCCTAGTTCAGGCTCTTATTTTATTTTTCTTGAATTTATGTAATAACCTCCTAGCTGGTCTTCCTACATATGGATATCTTTCTTCTCCAAACTATTATTTATATTATTACAGGAGTATTCTTCCTAATACACAGGTCTGATTGTGTTGTACAAAAGCTTCAGGGTTTCTCTTGGTGTACTGAGTAAAATGTTATCCCAGCATTTAGAGTTTTTCATAATCTGGCATCAGCCTTCTTTTCAGCCTTATTTCATGATATTCCCTTGGAGTATCGATTGTTTCCTCTTCCTCTTTCCTGTGCCTTTATCCTTTGTCCCATTGACAGTGAGTAGCTCCTTTATTAAGTCTTTTGATATTTCCAGTTATAAGAGATAATAAATTGATGCTGTTTTGATTATAGATTCTTTAGATCTGGCATGGCAGCTTGTGTTAAGACTGAAAATAATTTTGTAAACAGCTTTGAAAGAATATCAAACTGTGTAATCAGATGTGTACATTGTATGCTGTTACTTTCCCTGAAATGTGACTAAAAGAGGGAGGTCAAAAAGATTTCATAGATTTATGGATAGCCCTTCTCCAAGTGAATTAGAAATTTATCACAATTAATTTAACTATCTTTTTATATGCCTATGAAAGTCATTCAACAAGTATTTGTTAGCTGCTTGTTGTGTACCAAGCATTGTAGTAAGCTCTGGGGATACAAAGAAAGGCAAAAACTGCCCCTGATCGCAAGGAGCTCAAGCATCTAATTGAGGGAGACAGCATGCAAACTAGTATGTACAAATAAGGTATATAAAAGATAAATTGGAGAAAATCTCAGAGGGAAGGCATGGACAATAAGGAAGACTGGGAAGAGCTTTTTGTAGAAGGTGGGAGTTCAGTTAAGACTTGAAGAAAACTAGGGAAGCCAAAAGGTGTAGATGAGGGAATGAACTGCATGCTTGAGGGCCAGCCATTGAAAATGAATGGAGTTGGGAGATGTGAGTAATTTGTGGAAGCAATAGCAAAGAGACTAGTGTCGCTGGATCTCAGAATATGTGAAAGGAGGGGACTGAGATTTAAGAAGACTGGGAAGTTAGGAAGGGACCAGGTTATAAAAAGCCAAACGGAAGATTTTGTATTTGTTCCTGGAGGTAATGGGGGTCTGTGGAGTTTAATGATTTGGGGTGATAAAGTCAGACCTTCATTTTTAAGGAAGATCACTTTGACAGCTGAATGGAGGATAGACTAGGAGTGGGGAGAAACTTGAGGCAGGCAGACCAACCAGCAGGCTGTTGTAGTAGTCAGGTGTGAGGTGATGAGAGCCACTTGCATAAAAATGTGACAACAGAGGTTAAAAGGAAAGTGTTATATATAAGAGATGTTGGAAAGGTAGAATTGACAGGACTTGGTAACAGATTGGATGGATATAAGGGGTGAAAAGTCAAAGATGACTCTTTGATATGAGCCTGAGTTACTGGGAGGATGATGGTGCCTTGAATAGTAATAGGGAAATTGGAATGTGGGAAGGGTGTTTGCAGAAAAAATTTGAGTTCATAGTTTTGGATGTGTTATGTTCTAATGTCTGTTGGATATCTGTCGTGAGATGTCCAGTAGGCACGTGGAGCTGTGACATTGGAGGTGGAAAGAGAGGTTAGGACTGGATAAATAGATCAGAAAATCATCTGAATACAGATAAAAATTGAATCTATTGTTGTTGTTGTTTGTCCTTCTTTCTTGAAGAGGACCATGACCTTAGGGAGGTGATGCAGTGAGGGAGGACTGTTCAAAGTCACCAGCCTCACTTTGTCTCCCGGAGCCTTCTGGATCCATTGGCGAGATATAGATCAGGACAACTGGAGATGGCCCTGGATGCAGTGGGAGACCTTGACCTTTTTAAGTTAAGATCTTTAATAGGTCTCAGTTTGACTTTGCATGGCCCTCCATCACTTAAATCCATTTCACTTGCATGTTAAGGAATCACAAACAATAACCACTGTGAGTAGAAATAGTTGATGCCCTACTGGGGACCCAATTGGAACTGGCCAGTGGGGCAGCACAGCTCCTTCCTTCCTTTCCTTCCACCTTTTTTTTTTTCACCCCCCCCCTTTAGGACCATGCCTTAAACCCAAATCACTTTGGCTCTCAGTGATTGGTCAACAGTGCATCCCAGGCCAAGCCCTGCTTGGTCTTTGTTTGGGCCCTCTTTGGCTCAGGGAGAATATAAATAGCAGTTGTTTCTATTTTGGCCAGGAACCCTGAGGTCTATCCCTCCCAAATATGATTATTTATTTATTTATTTTTTACTAGGTTCAGAGGCCATTATCTGCCTCATTTCTTACCTAGCCTTAATCACTGAATTGAATCTATTGGAGCTGATGAGCTCACCAGTAAAATATCGTAGATGGAGAAGATGAGAGGGTAGAGGACAGAGCCCTGAGGGATACTTACAGCTAGCAGCCATGACTTGTATAAAGATACAGCAAAAGACACTTAGGAAGAGAGGTCAGACAGGTAGGAAGAGAACTCAGAGCAGTGTCAGGAAAACCTAGAGAGAAGAAAATACCAAGAAAAGGGTAGTTGATAGTGCTAAAGGCTGCAGAGAGGTCAAGAAGGTTCAACATAGATTTTTTGAAAGACATATGTGCAAATAGAAGAATAGATCTGTGCCTGTGACTGCAACATGTCTGGACCTCGATTAAGAAAATTTCATCAGTGGCCCCTAAATAAGATAGTTCTAAAAAATTTCATGGGGGCACAAAGAGGTTAAATGACTTGCCTGTGGTCACACATTGAGTAGTGGGGTAATCAGGACTTACTCCTCATCTTACTGACTTCCAAGCAGACCCTTACTCCACTGTGCTGCGTAAATATTTTTTAAACCAGAGATAATTTTTTTAATATATTTTTTTCAAATTACATGTAAAAAATTTTTCTATATGAATTTCAAATTCTATCCTTCACTCCCACCTCTCCATCCCCATTGAGAAGCCAAGCAATTTTATTTTATTTTATTTTATTTTTGCAGCCAAAGACAAGGTTTATTAGAACATTTGCCATATTGGCCAGACCCTTAAGGAATCTAAGCATTTATATCATTAATGCAAATAGGCCAGATCTTAAGAATCTGAGCCTTTGGCTAGATTTTAAGAATCTGAGCACTTTAACAGAGACAAACTACAGAAAGACTGTGGAAGGGATCTAGGAGTGGCCACATAGTTTGGGGTGATTGGATCAGGGGTCTAAGGAAGATCTGGTTGGTAGTGGCCAATAAACTGGGGTGAACAGAAGGCCAGATACCTGGACCACCTGGGCCAAGGGAGAATGAGGTATAGATAGGATTAAGGGTGGGAAGTGGCCAGGGGCAATGGGGAGGTAACAGAATTGGGAGATTGGGCATAGCTACCATGAAAGGCCAGTTGAGTGGATTACAGCCTTAGGCAAACACCAGGGATTTGGGAAAGTCCAAGGATTTTCCTTTTTGGGGTTCAGATCCCAAAAATGACATGGTCTTTTCCTTTTAGGGGTCCAAATCCCATCTTCATCATCCCCCCCTCAAGCAAATGGGACCCAAATTCTTTTGGGGTAAGGAGAGAAAGTCTTGGCTTCTGAAACTGCTTCCTGCTGGCAAGGGGCATAGAGCCATCCCTGCCTCAAAGGGGTCCCAAAGAGGTTGACTGGAACCGAGCACAGGCTGCATCCAGGGGGCAATGGGGAGACATTGACTGGTACCTGCTGTTTGCTACCAACTGTAGGTGAATGGCCTGTAGTCTGGAAGATACAAATCTGACAGAAAAGACTACAGGGCCCAGATATAGGGAGAAATAAAAGTGTAAGAGCTCCTTTAAAATCATTTACATTTGACATGCAGAATTATGTGATCTTGTTACTTATTCAAAAGTTTAACCTTTTTGCAGGTAGAAGCACCCCCCCCCTTCAATAGTTACACAAATAAATTTGCTAGAGACTGACTTTCAGTTATCTTCTTTTATCACTGAATTCAATTATCTTCAGTTATCACTGAAATTCTCCTCCCCAGACCAAACTGAGGATGTTTCTGATTTAATTTCAGTTGTTTGGGGGTATTGAATAAATACATATTCAGGTAAAAATAGCAGGATCTCACATACTTGCATTGTGCTCATATCTTTTGCTATCTATTTGCTCTGACTATAGACATTTGCTATAAAAGGATAAAGCAGGGACAAAATTAAGGGCCCAAATATTTCAAGGTAAAACATCTTGAATTCAAATAATTCACAGTTTTCTGACCATGTCATGTAGCATCAGATCCACCTTATAGCCAGACTCAGGAATAGCCAGGTGGGTAGTATTCCTTTTCAAAGGAGCATAATGGGGAAACTGAGCCAGGAGGTATCTCTTCTTAGACTGAGGCTAAAATTACCCTCTCAGCTTTTTCCAATGCTGACTTCCCACCAGTATCGCATTCTCTCAGAGTAGCTTGTGGCATTTCTCTCAGATGGTAGATTATTGATTATTGATGGATTATTATGATCCATCAGACATCTCAAAATAAAATCATTCACTCACTCACTGTAGTAGATTTTTGTTTCAGATTTTTCTAACACATGCCTTCCGGTCTTGATTGGAGAAGAGCTTGGGATTAGGCAGCTTCCCCATACAGGCCACCAAAATGTTGAGGTTTAGAGGTTTAGGGTGCTGGGACTCCAAAATCATAACATGTGGGTCCTGCCTGAATGAATTTGACCCAAGCCTTCTTTCAGCCAAAGACAAGTTTTATTAGAACATCCGCCCTATTGGCCAGACTCTTGAGGAATATAAGCATTTGTATCACTCATGCAAGTGGACCAGATCTTAAGAATCTGAGCTTTTGGTTAGATTTTAAGCATCTGAGCACCAAGCAATTTTATATAGATTATACATGTGTAGCCATGCAAAACAAATTTTTGTGTTGACCATGTTGCAAAAGGAAACACAGACCAAAAAAAAAAAAAACATGTATCATCATTGATTTTTACCATCCCTTCCTCTCCAGAGTCACCTCCCCTTTCCAGTTAACTTAACAATTTATCAGTGGCTTCACTGCCCTTTTAGTCTCACAGGCTCAAAATCTTAATTCTTTTTTTGCTGTTGAGAAAAAAATAATTTGTGTAACCAGTCATCGAGTTCTATCTTGTCTTACCTTAAAAATCATTTCTTGCTGATAGCATTGGTTCTACCTGAGACCAAATCTTTATCATCTAAGTCTGGATTATTTAGCCTCCTAATTGGTCTCCCTGCCTTTTCCTTCTACAATCCATATTCTGAACAAAAGTGTGAGATTATTTTCTAAAATTATACTTTGACCTTGTCCCACTCAAATTTGAAAACTGCCAGTGAACTTTGTATACCCTCCTCTGGCTTTGGCTTTAGTAATACCCTAGACTCTAATAGTTTAAAGTTATAAAACAAATGTGCTGTTTTTTAAAAAAATCACTCTGTAGTTTAATTGCTAATTTTTTTTGTATAAATATTCAGGTGTATGTAAGATTTTAATAATGGTAACTTCAATAGTCTTCAGTATATTTATGAAGTTTACTTATTTGAGCAACTAAAATAGTACTCTGCTTAAAAGTACACGTAGAAGATAGAGTCTAAGGAGGTGCAGGAGTACTGTCAGATAACAGCCTTTGCAAAAGCAGAGGTGGAAGATGAAAGTTCGAGTTTTGAGAAGAGCTAATAGACTACCTTCTCTGGAATATAGAGAGTACATGAAGGGGAGTGATATGAAATACATTTAGAAGGTTAGGTAACAGCCAGACTGTGTAATACTTTAAATGCAAGCTGGGTAAGGAATTCTTACAAAGGTAATAGGGCTTCACTAAGGGTTTTTTTGTTCTTTTGTGTTTTTTTTGTTTTTTTTTTGTTTTTAGGCAATAGGGGTTAAGTGACTTGCCCAGGGTCACATAGCTAGTAAGTGTCAAGTGTTTGGTCTGAGGCCGCATTTGAACTCAGGTCCTCCTGACTTCAGGGCTAATACTCTATCCACTGTGCCACCTAGCTGCCCCTTCACTAAAGCTTTTTGAACAGGTTAGGGCTATTAATTTGACAGCTGTGTGGAAGACAGATTAGAGAGAAATTCGGCAACTGATTGGATATGGAGGGTAAGGGGAAAGAGTAAAGAGATCAGATTTTCTCACATTGTTACCTTCTAGCATTTTGTAGAAGTTTTTCACAAATAGCTGGCACTTAAAAAAAAAACTGTTCTTAGACTTTGATCAGGAAATAATCAGACAATTATTGAACTGGAGTACTCTTCTATGACTCATCTGTTGTGCCAATACAGCCTTTAAAAGTCTGTTTTTCTAGTCTTGTAATTGGCAGTGCAATGTTTTCTTCCATGTAATTGGTGTATTCTGATGTACAAATAGAAATTGTCATTGACCAGAATGGTGTGTCTAACTTGTTAGTTTACACTGAAATTGAACTAACTAGGTTGGGCTTTGGGTCTAGAATGTAGGCCATAAATTAAATGTGGTTAGCTCCTTTGTGTGCTTAAAAAGGTTCAGTTTTATAAAAATAACTTGTTAAATTTAAATATATAAACAGGAAGGTACTGCTCTTATTTTAATGCTAATTTAAAACTTAATTTTCTGTCTTAGAAGCAAAGAAGCGGCAGTGTAAAGTTCTCTATGAGTATGTTCCACAAAATGAAGATGAATTAGAGCTCAGACTGGGAGATGTTATCGATATTAATGAAGAGGTAAGCAAAATAGATATTAAAGATAAATAATGTATTTGATCTACCTTTTTTAGTGCTTTGTTTTTAAAAGTATAAGAAAAATATGTGGTTTCTTTTTTTGAAAAATCACAAAGTACCTTTTTTGCTGCCTAATTCCTTTGTATAAGGATTCAAGTATATGTATGTTTTTAATGATTGTAAGTTCAATAGACTTTAGTATATTATAAAGTTTACTTATTTATGCAACTTTATTTATGGTTTTAAAGTATGCATAAATGATTTTATGCATATCTAGATCTGAATATATTCTTTTTACTGAATTTGGTATGTGTGATCTGTTTGTGGACTTTGGATTATAACTCTGTTATAGTGTTAATTACACATAAGACTATTACAAAAATTTTTCTTTGTTTCAGTTTTCTGTTGAAATTTTTAATCAGAGTAAACACGTATAAGCTCTTTGATTCTGAGGTTAACAAAAGCCTGAAGGGGAAAAATAAGATGTTTTTCTCCTCTTAATAGAATTCAGTGGTATAAACTAATTTTTTAGAATTCTGTACTTATCAAAACACCGAATAAAATGATCGTTTTCACATGTAAAGTAAACAGAAAAGGATTATATATGAAGCCTAAAATCTGTTTTCCTTTTAAGTAGATAATGAATTCAGTAAGTGACTTTTAGAGTTTTCCTGTATTTTTCTGTTTCCTTTTAGTCCTTCTTTTTGTTCTCTTCTATGCATTTTAAAAAATGTTTGAGTGACTCTTTTCTTCTTTTCTTGGCCATTCGAATGTTAGTCTCCCTTTCTCCCACCTGCTCTTCTGATTCAAAATAAAACAAGCCCCTCCTCCCTTTTTAAACAAATATTCATAGTCAAGCAATGCAAATTCCCACACTGGCAATTTTTGAAATTTGAGTAATTTTTGAGTAAATTTCATTATGCAGATTGAGTGAGTTTGGCCTATGGCATAGATTCTTAACTTTTTTTTTGTTTTGTGGTATTTCCTTTGTCATTCTGGTGAATGAAGCCTCTAGACTCTGAAGAATAATATTTTTTAAATACATAAAATATATAATATTACAGAGGAATGCAACTGTTGTAATATGGTTATCAAAATATTTAAAATGCAAGGTTGTGAATCCCACCTTAAGAATTCCTTGGCCTTAGACATTTTGGATATTCATGAAAACATTTATGCCAACTAAACCTTTCCCTCGCTCCTTCCTTCCTACCAGGCATCACATTACCACTTAGAATTGGTTTTTAAATATTCCCAACATCTCTGCACCTTTAATCTAGGATTTTCTTGTTTTTAAAGAGAGCAATATTTTATAAATTTTCTTGATAGTTGTCTGTAATAAAGATTCTTATCTCCAAGTATAAATTTGAAGAATAAAAAGCTACCATATATTCTGGTGGGGAGTCAGATCCATATGATTGTCTTCAATTTATTTCTCTGTTTAGATTTGCTTGCTTAAATTTTAAAGAGGTTGTTTTATATTAATCTTTGAAATAATTAAACCAGCAATATACATATATATATATAGTATGTTATATGCAATACAAATACATTACTACCAAATGCCCAAAAGTTCCTTGATGAAGTAGTCCCAACTATTAATCTGAAACTAGAGGTGTAATATGAGATTTGTAAAAGAATCATGAATTTTCCAGAATTAAAATGATTTTTAAAAATATCTCTTCAGTAAAATAACTGATATTAAATGGTGTTATCAAATTATCTATGAAGCAGCATAATATTGTAGATAGATATCTGGCTTATGATCCAGGAAGACCTGGGTTTGAGACTTACCTCGGACACATTCTTTCCAAGTCACTTAACCTCTTAGTACTTTAGACAGTTTTCTAAAACAGTAAATTGAAGAGAAGATGCTGACCTGCAGTGGTAAAGAGAATTGGCTCCTCTGGAGTTTCCTTTATCAATGAAATCACACTTCTAGTCTCTTTCTCTCCCTATTTTTTTCCCTAAAGATGAAGAACAGGGAACATTAAAATTTTTTTTTTATTTTAAATTTTATTGCATTTTTTTTTAACTTAACAGAAATCTGTTTTCTCTCCCACCTCCTTCCAAATGGAGGGAAAAAAAAAGAAAAAGTCTTTGTAACATATATGCATAGTCAAGCAAAATAGATTTTTGCACTGGCTATGGCCAAAACATGCCTCATTCTGTACCCTGAATTCATCACCTCTCTGTCAGAAAGTGGGTAGCGTGTTTTATCATCAGTCCTCTTCAATTGTGGTTGATCATTGTATATTTATATACTATAATTTGTTCAGCCTTTCCCTAATTTATGGGCATCCCTTCGTTTCTTGTTCCTTGCCATCACAAAAAGACCTACTCTAAATATTTTTATACATATGAGGCCTCTTTTTCTGTGATATCTTAGAATTATAGGCCTAGTAGTAATATTGTAGGGGCAAAGAGTATGTCTAATTTAGTAACTTTTTGGGCATATTTCCAAATTGTTTTCCAGAATGGCTGAACCAATTCAAAGCTTCATCAACAGTGCATTAATGTGCTATTCCCCACTCCTTAAAGCCTCTGCAACATTTTTCTTTTTCTTTTCCTCATTTTTGACAATCTGTTGACTGAGTTGGAACCTCAGAGTTATTTTAATTCGCATTTCCTTAACAGTGATTTGGAGCAGTTTTTTCCCCCATTTGACTTGGTATCTTGAACTTCTCCCTTTGAAAACTGATTATTCATTTTCATTAACCATTTGGGCAGTAGTTCTAATTTTTATAGATTTGAACCCATTTCTTGTATGTATTGGAAATGAGACCTTTATCAAAGAAACTTGGTGCAAAGATTTTCTCCCCAGTTACCTCCTTCCCTTGTAATTTTAGCTTCATTGATTTCATTTGTACCAAAACTTTAATTTTATCTAATCAGAATTTGGGTAGGTAGATGATGCAGTGGATAGAACACCAGGCCTGGAGTCAGGAAGACTTGAGTTCAAATGTGATCTCAGACACTTACTAGTTGTGTGACCCTGTTTACCTCAGTTTCCATATCTGTAAAATGAGCAAAGGAAATGGCAAACTACTCCGGTATTTTTGCCAAGAAAACCCCAAATGGCATCATGAAGAGTCAGGCATGGTTGGCAATGACTGAACAACAACAAATCAAAATTACCTATTTTATTTTCCATGATCCTCTCTATCTCTTTTTTGGTCAAGTTTTAAATAAAACTAAAGCCTAATGCATAATTTACTACTTTACTAATTCTAATTTAATGGTGACAACTTAAAATAGTTCTGACTTGATAATAGTATATGCTCAGTCTTGATTTGATTATTCTTTTCCATTTTACCTTGTAATCGTAGGCCTCCTATACTTGTTCATGGATCTGAGGCTTTGTACCAGTTTCTCAAAGATTTGTATAATTTTTTTACATCTTTGGAGGTAGAGTACTTTAATTTTAGGGATTTTCCACAAGTTTTCATCTTTCTCAGGATGCATTTCCTCCTACCCCTCCCCACCCCCCACTTTGAGAATAGTGTACAAAAAGGACTTAAGTAGGAAGACAGAATATTTATCTTCCTGGAAAAAAATTCAGTATACCTTGCTTACTAATTGATTAGAGTATAATCGGGGTCTCTTCCAGCCCTAGATCCCATGTTGTAATATAAAAACAAAGATAAAAGCCTATTGTGCTTTGGTAAATTGAAAATGGTAAAAAACAAAAAAAACCCAAAAAAACAAAACTGTATTTATTGTTCACTTATTAGTAGTCATAGGAGTGAGACATCATCAAGTAGCAAGTCAAATAATATAGCTAATTATTAAAATTCCTTTCTACTATTAGCAAAATAATGTAACTACTCTTATTATTTATTAACATTCCTATTATTGATCCTAATTAGTGAGTAATAATTATAGAGAGCTGCTTAGCAATCTTTTTAACATTTTGTAGTTATTTGCATGCAAGAAATTTTTCTTGTTTTTGGATCACTTCATAGGATTTATAAGACTAGAAGATACTCATCATCTAGTTCAGTCTTTTTATTTTACAGAGGAGGAAATGGAGGTCCAGAGAAGGGAAGTGATTTGCCTATAATAATATAAGAAACAGTGCCAGGCCTAAAACCCAGCCTGTTTGACTGTAAATTCAGTTCATATGAGATTATGTTAAGATACAGGATGATACAATTGAAAGAATGTTGGATTTGGAGCTGGAAGATGTAGATTTGAATCACTTTAACTCTTTGGGCATCAGTAAGGTGAAGGGGTAGACATGGTCTGCGTGGTTCTCTTCAGTTACAATTTAATTATTTACCTCCTTGAGATGTCTCTTGACATTTGCCTGTTGTAGACATCCCAGGCCTATTGGACCTTTATGACAGCAAATCTTCTACCTTGTGTCTTCACCCTCAATCTATTGTATGTAATTAAAGAAAGCTTCCTAAAATACTGTTTGCCTCATGTCAATATTCTGTATTGCTTACTGTAGATTTCTTTTTTTGCCTTTCAGGGTCTTCTTTACTCAAAGTCTCAATTTTATCTATTCAGCTATATTTCCTGTTATCTTTAACATCTAGAGTCTACTCCATTCTAATTGATTTTCTCATTGTACTTGCCCTTCATACACCATGCACTTCTGGCCTCTTAGTTTGCTCTTACTGTTTTACCTGCGTATAATGTCTTTGTTCCCCTCTGTTGAGGTAATTTATCCAGGTTTCATCATGATTGTGAGGTGTAATCTCATAATTTGGAATGCCCTCCTCTTCTTTACCAATCAAAATTCTTCCCAAACCTCAAAATTTAGTTCAAGTTCCATTTCTGCTGTTACACTATCTGACTACTCCAGTTCTTACTAATTTTTCCCTTCTCTGAATTCCTTTTAATTTTTACTATCAAGACTATTCAGTTTTGCATGTAAGATATAACAGAATTTCCTAGTTTTCAGCTGCCTTAGAAATTATCTAGTCATATTATTTTAGAAGTAGATGAAATTTGATGAAATATCACAGCTTTTAGAGATGGAAGGAATGTTGGAT